GTCTGTTAATCCTTGTCTTGGACACCTTTAAACTACTTTTTTTGGTGAACGTCAACGTGTCCAATTAATAAAGATTCTACGTGTTCAAAGGCGTTACGAAGGAATAATATAAACGGAAAGCGCTCCTTACAACCGAGAAGGGGATAGCTCAGAAGCAAATGGGACCACTTGATCCTTTAGTCTGCACTTTCGTCCAAATGAGGTGTCAAGATCATCCCTGGCTATGAGGCATTAAAGACAGATTAGAAAGAAAGTCAAGATTTTTTGTACATCCAGAGAGAGGTTTTACCAAATTTGATGTCTTGTCGAGGATTTGACTAGACAAATTTAGAAACTTCCCAAATTCCAGCCATTCTTCGATCATGTACTGCCGCGTGTTTGAGTTGATTCATAACCTGAGTTGGCGGCCTTGACTTCGATCTCCATCTCCCTCCGGCCATAAGAACCTCACCCAGATAAACCTTCCTCCGTCACAGAAGCTGGCTTCCAATCAAACGAGGTCAAAAGACAATTTTTTGTTTCTCCTAACCGCAGGCGAGGCCCGTGGTTGTCCCGCTCACAGCACCACAATGGCCCTCCAGGTCTCTTTCTGGCCAGCACCCATTCTTGGGGGCTGGCCAGAAACAGACTCAAACTCGAAAGTCGTTTGAAGCACGGAATTGCGACAACAACGCTGTATGAAGGTCATGGAGTACAAATTGAAGACCACAATTTGTCGTATCTATGAATTTGTGTGATTGCTGAATGAGGAGAAGTAGTTTTGAGATGATTGCACTATTGCATCATAAATTATCACATAATAAATTATATGATAGTGCAATTATCTTAATACAACCTCGCCCCACACAGTAAACTGGAGAACTGAAAACAGTAGTCGAGGTCGTCGTTCTGATGAATACTATCCCACGGTGGAGTTATCTGAATGGCAAGGCCCGATGAACTCGGTCTACTTTTAGTCTTGCCTTCCATGCATCTGCAAAAAGTTCCCGTAGTTAACAGTAAGAGCTGTGGATGTTTGCGCTGGAAGTTTTGGGTGACAATTGAAGCCGAGCAACTGGATCTATATTATTCATCTAAAAGATTTTATATTTGCACGAATTATATGTAATCTCCCCAAGAAAAAGAAGAAATTCACGGTGACAACAGTTGGATCTGTATTATTCAAGGGATTTGTTCCACATTTTGGAATGAAAGAAAAGCAATCCCCAAGAAGAAGAAGAAACAATACACGGGTCATAGCTGAAATACAGAAGTTTAGTAATAGGTTTTAAACATAGCAGGTTTACTCGAGGGTTTGAAACAACATTGAGATTATAGCTGAAGACAAACACAAAATTTCTGTGTGAAATCAGCAATGTATTCTAAATACTAAATATGAAAAAATATTTTTCATCCCTTTTATTCCTAGCGATTCCCCTTCAACGATTTTTCAAGAAGGAAGAGCTTCAGCACGATGTAGATGCAGCGCAAATTCTTTTTCTTAGCTGCATAAGAAAATAAACATGCCAATACCAAAGAGTACAAGTGTGATATCTCTCAGTTCTGGGAAGGTAGCGACCGCTTTTATCCAGCTCATTCTGCGCAGGATCGACATGCCCACTTCAGTATAAAAGGAGAAGAAGGCAAAAGTGTAAGGACATGGTGCTAGTTATTCATGCCATCACTGCCATGATTGGTAACATTTCCAGTCAACTTTGGATCGCCTGTTAGAAAAGAAATTACTTGTCATTCTTTATGCTAGAGTCATATCTTTGTTTTGTTTTATTCCTTTCTTTTTTTGATGAGCTGTCTAAGTATCTCTATGGCCACTTGTTTCAGAAGACTCCTACAATCCAGTGAAGACCATGATACAGTGTCCTCGTGCAGAGACAACTTCCCAAGAAACTCCCAATCAAGATGATGGTGTTACAAGCTTTTCAACTGCATACTTTCAACCCAATGAAGCACAAATTAATTAGTACTGATATCTAACGTCCATGCACCGAGATTGTTAAAGATCCATTCTTTGTGCGTTGTTGTGGTGCAACTTGCCTCCTAAAGCTGAAAATAATATTTCACCTCATGATAAATGGCTCTCATCTGGATCCTTTCTTACCAAATGTCGAAATGTTGCAAGAGATTTATTTGTTTACCTGTTGGTATGGCGATACTTCTTTTACAAGTCCAGCTCTCCTGCAGTTGCGAGCCAGTTGCAAACTTGGCAATTGGGCATGGAATTGAAGGGCTAGGGCGAAAATGGAAGAGCAAGGGTGAAGAGAAAGATCACGGTCTGAAAACCGTTACATGCATTCGACAGATAAGGAATGATGAGATTCGCTTGCCAGCTGCATGTCATTCAACGATTGCCGATAGGAACGTCGGAGGAGGTGGTCTCTTAACTTTATTATGTTGCATCCCAAGGGCCCGGGTTGAAAGTCCGCGCGCAGGTGGAATCTGTAGTGAGCAGCATGTGTGGGCCGTGGGCCTCCCTCCCCGGATCTACTCACAGCGACGCTCGTTAGAGGAACGGAGAAAGTCCGTCGTAGGGCGAGGTAGACCGGATCGGGCGTCAGTCCTTTGCACCACCGGGAAAGAAGTCGAGTACACGGGGCCTACCTGACATGCTTTGCTGACTGCTGTCGGAGGTTTTTGTCGGCAGCACATGCCGGCGACCTTCCGACCCCAAGCTGGCTGTAATACTCGCGCTGCGGTTTTCGAGTCCCCACGCTGCTCGTCATTATAAGGCCCTTTGTTAGCACATAAAATAGTCCCTCCCTCGGTGTTCGGGTATTACTCCTCCCCGCCGGGATACTCCTCGTCATGCCGGCGGTTGCGGTGAGCATCTCCAGATTTCCCCGTTCCCGGCGCGCATTCCAGTTCCACATTTATTCCCAGATGTCATACTCCGGCACTCCTCGAAGACAAGAACAATGCCGGAACCTCTCGACGGAGCTTACGATTTACGGCTGGTGGCATAAGCGACTTTCGCCCGTGCTTAGTCAGCAGAAAGTTGGAGAACATTCCTCCTGTACTTGCACAACGTTCTCCAAAACGGCGGTGAACGGTGCTTTAGATCGTGAGGCGCGGCATGAACAGTACCGGAAGATTTGGCGCGGCAGAAGGGGCCAAATTGCGGACGAATTATTTAAATTAACGTCTTAAGCGCCGGATTTCAATTTATAATTACGAGTTATTGGCGGAAGGCGGGCGGATAATTTAAATAATCGGCTTAAGCGCCGGATTTTCGATTTATAAATTCGAGTTATTGGCGGAAGGAGGAAGGCGGGCTGCGCGCTCGGAGATGGCCCGGTTCGTCGCGGGAGGCAGCGGCAAAGCTGCCCCAACCACGCAGGCGTGGGACTACTTACCCACGTACGCGGTTGCTGGACGATATTCGCATGTTGGAAACTGCTCACGTCCTACGGGCGCAAGGGAGTACTCGTCACGCTCGGCGTGCTGTCAACGCGGTAGGTAAGTGCTCGATTGGAGTTCCACGGAGCGACTGCGTGGGGCCAAGTTTTAACCCGGCTCGGTGGTAAAGGCTGGCGCGGGTGAGGGCCAGGTTAGAATCTTACGTTGGTTCCGTCAGAAGCAAAGGAGAGTGACTGGGATCCATCGGTCGACGGGTAGCGTACGTGTGAGAAGAGGCTCTCCACCGTCGATCCCGGAGCGTGCTGAGACTGTTCAAAGTTGAAGTAGGTGAGAACTTCTCACTCGACGGCCGCTGCCCTCAAACGGTACAGTTTACCTCCACTACAAGAACATCCACCTCGCGCACACTCAGTCTCGGGTGTGCCCGCCCGCGCTTCTCGGGGATAGGACCGGACTGGCCCTGCCGAGGGAAAAAGCTGCACCCACGAGCTCGCGAAAACAGCCTCCCTCGCAATGTCCTTCAGAAATCACGAATGGCCCCCGCAAGGGCTGGCTTCGCTTAATCCCGGAGAGAGAAGGCGTTATCCAATAAAGACCACCGCAAGCAAAAGCGCTGCGGATAGTCGGAGACACCTGCCCTCGCTTGGTTGTAGAGAACAGCTTGCACTTCTATAATTCGCCCCACTACAACCACTGGAGTGAAGACCCAGCAAGGATACCTTGGAATCCCGAAAAAAGAAACCCTTTCTGATCTATATAATCCCGATAGCAGTTTTATCCTAACATATATTCATGATGACAAGAATTCGCTTCATCAGACATTCCCAAGAAAGAGTTGACGCAGTGGACAAAAACAACGACGCCCATTGACTTCAATTTTCGCTACGCTAAGGAGTGATAAATTATTAGTTTTATTACTTACGCTACGGAATATTCCATGGGGTACTTTATTTTTCGTGTGATAAGCTCCCCCCACGTTGTATACATTTTAAAGAAAATGTTTGGGTAGAAAGGTGTGCAACCGCCTACCTAGGGGCCGCAACGTCGTCGCTGGAAGGCGCTTTCATATTCCTGGGAGCAAGAATAAAATCCAATTGCCACAGTTGCATCGGTTGGCAATGAGTGAGGGCGCTCGTAGCGTCGTAGGGTTATTCGATTTCGAAGGCTAATGCTTTCGCCCTTCCTTCGAGGCAGCGGGACTTTACACCCACTGCCACAAGGGGAGAAAGTTTAGCTGCGCACCTTTAAGACCAAATACGACAAAGCGGCTCGAGTTCTTGACATGCCCTTGTCCGCTGCGTCGCTCTCTCCGCTCAATGGAGGCCTCTAAGTTACCAGCGGTGCCATCAAGGAACTTTAGCGGTTTAGAATGCGGGAAAAGACAAGCGTCGGTGTCGCGGAGAAATCGCGAATCGCAGGAGAAGAAACCGGAGGAGAGAGATTATGATCCGTGTGGAGGAGTTCTCGTAGCGAGCGGAGAGGCTTCCACGCCCAGGTCCGCGAAGTGCAGCAGCGGGCTATCCGGGCGCTGACGCGAGTTCTAACCCGAGGTTAAAGGAGCGCGGACGTGCCCCGCCAAAGACAGGCACGTTGAGACTGGACAGAAGAAAAGTCCGCTGCTGATGGGCATTACGGCATCATTTAGGCGAAGCGCAGGCGCAGGAAGGCTCATTAGTTCAGAGCTAGCAGAGGAAGAAGGGCAGCAGCAGCAGCTGCAGACGAGAACAGCTATGGCGAGGTGGCGACACGGGATCTCGATACTATTCGATAGTGGTAGAGTTAAGGGAGTGCTGTAGATCTTCTTCACAGGAGCAGGAAAGGAAAGGAAAGGAGGAAGAGCAGGAAAGGGAAGGAGGAGGGAGAGGAGAAAGAGGAGGAAGGGGGAGACGCGGGGCTGCGGTGTGGTTGGGGGGCCACTGGCTTCGTGGGCGAAGTGACAGTCGTTTGTGTGTGTCCCCTCGCCGGTGGTGTGCTGCCCTTCCTTCATATACGCCCTTTCTTTCGATCGGCCAGTCTCTCTGACGGGAGCGAGCAGCTTTGGTTCCTCGAACGGAGCCGGAGATGCGCGAGGAGATTTGGAATCCAATTTTCTAGTGTTTTGGAGCGGTGTTGCGTGCCGGGTGGAGAGGTGGGCGATGCATTATGCGTGAGCATGGAGTAGGGGGCGGAATAGTATGGAGGCGGCGACGAGTCTGGAGTGTATCGGGGCGAGTGAGTTTAGTTTGGGACTGTGAGAGTGGAATGCGCTGTGGGACGAACTTTTGAGGGGTGTTGCTCCCGGGAGAGAGTATTTCGGGCGGATAGCGATCAGGGATCTCAATGTGCTGTTGATGGGATTGTATCGTGATCGCATTGAGTAATCGAGGGGATCGTTAAACGACGAGTTTTTTGTGCTGTGAGTGTGTCAGTTGCTCTCAGTTTGTTTCCTTCGTGGCGGGGACTTAAAAGTGAGGGCAGAGTTCGTGGACATTTTGTATGGAGACAGAGAGTTGGAAGTTGCGAGAACAGAGAACATAATGAATTGGCCGACTTCTCGACGCCCTAGGGAGATCGATGGTACCGTGGGTAGCCAGTACTGTACGGCAGAGAGCAAGGCTGGATGTTTGGTCTTCGTGCAATCAAGGATTTGGACTAGCATTGTGTCGCGGCAGCCTGTGTTTCTACGAAGGATTTGATCATTAGATGGTCTAGTATTTACTGGGAATCGAACTCACACTCCTTCTACTGCAACTTTTCGGTGATCACGATCTCTTGCAGCTGCCTATTTCGTAGCACATCATGCCATCAAGAAGAGCCACAGTGACTGGTTTTGCCCAGCGGACCAGGAGTATGCGATGCCGTTCTCAAGTTTTCATTTTGCTCGTCGTAACTGTGATTGCTCCCCTCATCTTTTTGGCGGGGAGGGCGACGAATTTCAATTCCACTGTCAGCAGTAAGTGATCGGTCACCAGCTCTGGCTTGTGAGGATGTCAGAGCTCAAAATTTGCAATGACATACACGATTTAGTCTAAGGCTGGGGTAGGCGTATTTTGTTTTCTCGGGGCCGATATATCTTGAGATGTTGAGAGTCTACTGACCTTGGACGACTTCTGGGGAGATGAATAAGCTCTTGCTTTGTTTTTATCTTAACACGGAGATAGTGGAACGGCCGTCCTTATTATTCCAATTCGCCGCGTTATTTGTCAAGAGCTGGGGATCAAACGACATCATTTGTGGTTGTTTGTATCCCTTCAATGATTCTGTTGGCTACAGATTGTTCTTGCTCGTGTATGTTGATTTACCAGTCATGGACCTTCTCCCCAACCTTGTGGAAATTTAGTTCTTCTTACGTAGTCCGTAGATATTTGTTTTCTCATATCTGAAACCTAGTCCCCCAAGCTTTGAAAGCTCCTTGCAGTTGATTGCCAGCCACTTTCATCTTAACTTGCCCAAGTATAGTGTGTGCCTGTCCTTTGTGGTGGATTTCAGCGTGTAGCTGCGTTGCGTCTTTTTCTCCTATGCATTCTGCGCGGACGACAGAAATTTCCTGAACTGCCTTTGGTGTTAGGAGAAAGATGATGTCTTCTCCAGCCTTTAACAGTATTATGGATGATTGCAGGTCACAAGGACTTCGATGTACATGATCTTACCACGGTGAGTAGTAACCACTGTTTTCAATACATAGTGGCTTTGGTTTCCTTATGGCTTGTCTCAAGATACCGATTATAGCTGCGACGCCTTGTCTCAATTGTAGGATGCAAGATAATGCAATTCCTTGATTAGTTAGAACCCTGTAGAGATTCTTCACGAGCAATCTTGGGCTGAACAGTTCATAGCAGTGTAACCGATATAACCCACTTCATATGTATCTGTTGTAAAATTCTCGGAAGGAGTCTCGCTTAGGATTTTCTAAAACGAAATTACTTGCTTTTTTGGATTTTCAAAGTGTAGATTGATCAGCCTAATCATCGGTTGTGATCTTTTTTTTCAATCGAAATGTGTTGCAGGATCATGGAGGCGAGCTAAGAAGATTAAATGCATTGGAACACATCGAAACTCTATTTCCGAAGGAAGTAAGTAGGATGTCGTTGTATTGCAAATCAGGCTACATGTTCTTTTTATTTGGCTGCGAAGGTTGCAATAAGATCGATTATCAGAGGTGCAAGGGAGGCATTCCATCGTGGCTCATGTCGCTCCGCTTTCGAGAAAAGTGTCTTTCACGTTTCGTTTTTACCAATTAGTTTCGCAGATAAATCCTGCTGTATCCTGTAATATTCATGTCATACCCTGAAGTCCACTGACTCGAACTGTATTCAAATTATGAATGCCACGATTGATATCTTCGCGAGATCATCAACCTGTAATCTTGATGACTGAAGATCCTTAATCCCTCGCAAGATCAGTTGGTTGCTAGTTCTTCCGACTTCAAACATAATATCAGTGTCAAGATCAGTTGGTTGCTAGTTCTTCCGACTTCAAACATAATATCAGTGTCGGTGAAGTTCTTTCCAGATTTTGAGTTGATGTGTCTGTTACATCACCTCTACACTCCTCTCCCTTACTTAGGTAGCTACAGCATTTGTTCCCCAAAGTCTTCTTTCTTTCTGGGAGTATAATTCTAGAATTCCTTATGCATAAGGCTCCACTTTGTTTGTCTTAGTTTTCGAATAGCTTTCGAGTGGCTTTGGAGACGCTTTGACGCAACCAAATCTGAACTAAATTTTTTTGTTTGAACTTTGTTCATCGCAGGTTTTGAAGGTCATCTACTCTCATACGGAGGAAACTGGAGCCTTGAACATGAACTTAGTGGGCCGCAAAGATCTCGCTTCATCTTTGATTCAAGAAGAGACGGCAGAGGTAAGAGTAGTTCAGTGCCTCGTTCTTTTTTGCGAGATCTTTAGTAGAAAGGTCATCACTCGTTTTGGACGACATTCACTCGGTGGATCTCTTGGGTTCGGAAAGAACGGAAGATTACTCTTACCGTCACATCTGTCCTGGGTTGGCTAGTCCCCCGCTTAGTTTCTCACCTTTGTCTACACATGAATAACTCACATCATTCTGCCATCTCACAGGATCAAGGAGAGGGGCAGGTTAGGTCGGTTATTCAGGATCAGGGGGAAGTTGCCAATCAGGAGCAAGGAGCGGATGATATCAAGGTCTCACTGGCCGAGGTGGAGGCAGAAGGTGCCTTTACATCCTCCAAAACATCGTTTCATGTCGTCAGTAATGGAGTGATTGTTGAAACACTATCTATTTTTCTCACACACTAGATTTATTGTTGCCAAACACGAACTTCTTGGCGTGCTCTTCTGTAATTTCGTGCATTCTTTTCTGAGATGCCTCTTGCCCCGTGATATTGGGCTCATCAGTTGGAGGACGCGCAGTGGACCTGCATTCAACCGAAGATGACTCTGCGAAAGAAACGAGGAAGGTATGGCCTCTGTACTTTGTCCCTGTCAGTAGTGTCGTTTCTTTAGATGTCGTTTCATGTTTAAGTGATGTTTATGTGGCTTATATTTTCGCTTTTGGTGTTTTTTTGTCGTTTGTGAGAAACTCGATATTCCTCTTTTATTGTTTTGTTAAAATTTTTTGTCTTTCCCAAAAGTTGTTGCACGCTTCGTGTATATTTACTCCACATTAAATGCATATATTATGTTCCTCTGCAGCAATTCAGGCATCGTAGGCATGAGAAAAGGCTGACAGAGCTCATCCGGCAGGATGAAGATGAAGACAAGAAGGCGGAGAATGAAGCCATGGAACGCAACAAGGAAGTTGAAGTCGGAGTAGATGGTAAATTCAGCATATGGAAACGAGAAGATGCTGAAAATCCTGACGCCATGGTTCGCATTATGAGAGACCAACTAATCATGGCGCGTGCTTACGCTGCAATCGCGGAGTCCACCAATAACGGACGTCTCCTTCGAGAGTTGAAAGCGAAAATTAAAGAAAACATTAAACTGCTGGGAGAGGCGAATGTCGATTCCGAGTTACCACCAGGGTAAGTGTCGAATTAATTACTTGCTTGTATATGTGAAAATCGGGACCTCTTACTCGGTTGTCTTCGTTACGAAGATCTGGCATCTATGTTGTTTTGAACACATGTGCTACCTAATTTTCAATATTCTAAATCAAGCCGATCATTTGTATGCAGCATAAAGGATAAAATCAAGCTGATGGCGCGCCTCCTGACGAAAGCCCGAGATCAGCATCGAGATTGTGCAATGATGGTGAAGAAGTTGCGGGCGATGTTGCAGACCTCAGAAGAACATGCTCGCACGCTCAAGAAGCAAAGTACTTTCCTGAGTCAGCTGGCAGCGAAAACCATTCCCAAGGGTCTTCATTGTTTGTCGATGTCGTTGACGCTCCAGTACCATCTTCTGCCTCTTGCCGAGCGTGAATTACCAGAATCTCCGAAGCTCGAGGATCCAACCCTTTATCACTATGCAATCTTCTCGGACAACATTCTCGCAGCGGCGGTTGTTGTGAATTCTACGATCATTCACGCCAAGGTAATTTCTTGTGAAATGAGCCCTTATGTGTGTGTCAAGAGTAAGCATCTGTGTCCAGCTGTAAGGGGCTATGACCTCCGCGTCTGAGTATTCTCCACGAGCAGAGTAGATGAAGAGGTCTTCCTGTTACCAGCATCTTGCTTTTTTACTTTCTTGTATGTAAGAAACAAATCGCAAATGATTATTTTTACACTTGAAACAACTTGTGGCTGGATGAGAGAACCGTCTTGTGGATGTGCGGGGAACCTAATCATTACTGTAGAATGTCCACGGTGGAGAATATCTCATGTGGTTTTGAATTATGATTTGTACAACAGGAACCAGAGAAGCATGTCTTTCACGTGGTTACCGACAGGATGAACTTCGGAGCTATGAAAATGTGGTTTTTGGAAAATTCTCCAGGTCTTGCCACTATTCAAGTGGAGAACGTCGATGATTACAAGTGGCTGAATGCATCATACTGTCCAGTTCTTCACCAACTTAGCTCAGCGTCTATGAAGGATTACTACTTCAAAGCAGACAACGGTGCAAGCCTGGCCACCGTTTCTTCCAACTTGAAGTACCGAAATCCCAAGTACTTGTCCATGCTAAATCATCTGCGTTTCTACCTTCCCGAGGTGTTTCCGAAGCTCAATAAGGTGCTCTTCTTGGATGATGATGTCGTTGTACAAAAGGACCTCAGCGCTTTATGGGATGTCGATCTGCACGGAAATGTGAATGGTGCTGTAGAGACTTGTGGGCAGAGCTTTCATCGCTTCGACAAGTACTTGAATTTTTCACATCCAGATATTGCCAGCAATTTCGATCCAATGGCTTGTGGGTGGGCATATGGCATGAACATGTTTGATCTCGTCGAATGGAAGAAACGTGATATAACCGGCATCTACCATAAGTGGCAAAGAATGGTACGACCTGATTTCTTTAAGTTCTGCTGAAAACTCTAGTTGTGATAAGTGTGCTAAACTCAAAAGCTCGCCATGCGTGAAAAGATGTAATTTGGTTTCGAATCGGAGCTTGCATGTCGTGCGTTTAACTCTCTTGTTGGGCTTTATATGGCAGAACGAGGACAGAACACTCTGGAAGCTCGGGACATTGCCTCCTGGCCTGATTACGTTTTACAACATGACGTTTCCACTGGACAAATCATGGCATGTTCTGGGTCTCGGCTACAACCCTGGTGTTCTACACAGTGAACTGGAAGCTGCTGCCGTGGTACATTACAACGGAAATATGAAGCCGTGGTTAGAGATTGGGATGTCTCGGTACAAGCCCTATTGGACAAAGTATGTGAAATATGATCATCCCTCTCTGCAGCAGTGCAATATCAACGAATAAGAACCTCAAATTTTGGTAGCCTGGATGCAGAAGAACCAATATGTTCAGTCTCAAAGATGGACTGACTTGACTACCCGTGTAGCCTGCGCCATCAGTATCACATGGACTACAGGGTTTAGCCTTCTGTCTTGCAGCCCCATTTGTTCTATAGGAGAGTCGGCACAGAAAGTAGATTAGGAATTAGGAGAGGAAATCAGATAGCAGCGGGGTTGTTTGAACTGGGTGGCCTTTGAGGTGACGATACCAGCCAACCAGCTACAATTTGGTCCAGAAAACTCGATGGCTAGGCTTCCTGCTAGAATACTGCCGGTGAGGGGAGGTCAAGTCTTCCATTGTATGGTGTATATAATCATTACTTGGATTTGTGAAGAACTCTATTGAAGTTCTCTTCAATGTATCTCTCGAAAGGCGGACACACGCGGACTTTTTGATTTTATTTTAAATCCGGGTTACACTCTGTTCTGTAAGCAATACTCGTCTCTAGTGTACTCACTGTCCCCCATTCCCATGCCCATGACCGTGTCAATATGGGCATGCCTCTGTAATTGTATTTTGCTTTTGTGGGAATGAGCTTATTGCCGTGGACGAACCCCCAGCATGTTTCGATCAACCGCCTGATCCTTGTAAGAAGTCTTGGACCACCTGCATCTGAGAAGTAAATTGCTGCTGGCCGGCAGAAATAGGATTGCTCAGTAAGTTCCGCTGCCATGACAAAGTTCATGGATGTTATTACGTCACCCATTTACCGGAAGCAAGTGGTCTGTAAATTAGTGTCCACGGTGTATATAAACGGGGTCCACTATTAAGAATGCCACACCTTTGCTTTGATGCGATCCATGTCACCTGTAGCTGAAGTCAAAAGCGTAGCTCAATCGTCACCTATATACCTAGACTTATCCTAGTGCCTGAGGAGGTGAAAGCATATGGCATTCCGACCAAAAGAAGACGTAGAGGTATGGCTATAGCATGTGAAGCTACGTGCCAGGTTTTGCCAGCCAAACTTGGTGGGTCCTTGCGATGTGTATCACATGTGTCTTGAGCATGTGTCGTCGAGTCCGTACAAATATTCTGAAGCAGAAGATGATTACAAATAGCAAAGGCCAAATTTATCATGCACACGAACTAAGAAAAGAGAAATGACAGCGAGGAGTGACGTCTAGAGAAGCTGGTACTGCGCATCGTAAAGGTGTGTCGTTTGTGTTGTCAAAAGAAAACGTCAAAATGTCAACCAAGAGCGATAAGAGGAAAACAGCTGGAGTATTCAATGTTGTTAACTACTCAAAGCTTGCTGCCACAATTCTTAGTCTTCTGGCGATCTTGTTATTGGTATACACAATGTATTATAGGACAACAGTAAGTGCTACACATGGAATTTATGGAATTTATGTATCGTCCGGCGGTTGCCCGGTGAAAAATGATTCACTTGGTCCTTTGAATCTGGACAGATCATGAATATCAATGACAACAATTTTCTACCGCTACAAGACACGCCTTTATATGACGAATATAATTATGTGAAGATTAAAGAGCAGATATGAGCTGTACGGCTCTGACAGAGTATGACACAATTTCGTGACTGTTCATACAATCCAAGCTGAAGGCTTCGAGCCCACTTGAGAGAGGTAACTGAGAAAATCTTGGAATCACCGAAGATGTTCAGAATCACAGAAAATGTAAAAGGGAGATAGGTGGCCCAAATCAATGAAGACCGAAACCAAGCCCTCCTCTAGTATAACAAGGACTGAAGAGTGCTATATTAGAATTTTGTCACCTATTTAAATCTATGAACTCATACAATCTAAGGTGCTAGATACGTAGAATCCCTTTATCGGCTTAATGCATTTTCAAACACATTTTGCCCTCTCGTCAAATAAGGACGAGAGTGATCAAAACTATATTCTCAAACATTCAATATTCAATTTAATTATACCTAGCCTGATGCTCTTGAAGTCATTGTAAAATCTTGCCTTGGATCTAATGAAAATGGTGTTAAGTGCATTTCAGCTTAATTTGACTTACTTGCATTTATCTACTTAATCTGCTACTAATGCATGAAATAAATGAATAAATGTATTTTATGCTATTAACTATGTAATTTCATGATGAATATATATATACACATGTCTCTAATGAGTTATAATTAAAAATACTAATGCTAAAACACCAAATGTTGAAATTTTGTAATATATATATGATGATTGAATCAATTCTGGTGTTCATTTTCTTTATCATAACTTAACGTTATTATTAAAAATCAAAATGAAAAGATTTTTCTAAAATTTCAAATTGTAGTCAAGATTCAACAATGTTGGATATTTCATATCATTACACATATTTCTTTATTTCACATAACATTCTTTCGCGCCTATAATTATAAAACCATATTTATTTGGTGACTATAGGAATTAATATCAGATTCCAGCTCGCATGACACTGAGTGAAAGTCATTTTAGGAGCTACCACATTAGAATACACATGTATTATTTCCTTTGCTTCAAAAAAGATTGCAATTAAATGTTTTGGATGCACTTATTTTGACCACTTCTGCTCGTTTGTTATGAAAAATTCTTGGATTGAATCTTCTGCTACTTGATGGTAGTATCAAAAGTCTTGTGTATTATGTTATTCATGTTAGTTAGTTTAATTTTTTGAATTTACTATTTTAAGTTAGTCTTCATGCATAATGCTAGCAATAGTTTTCATTTTCTTATACATCATATTGTATTTACTCTTCCTTCAAACTCATGTGTTTGAAAAATTTCAATAGTGAATGAGGAATAGAAAATTCATGGAACAAAACTTTATCATTTTATCTTAACAAACAAATCCAATCTTCATCAAATAGATTTATCATATCAATTCTTCATAAATTCTAAACATATGTCGCTACTACTCTAAAATCTTCCCATCCACACATTTCTATTCTAATTTTTCAAATTGATTTTTCCTCATCTTTTAAAATCTTAAAATTTTTGTATACATTGTAATCCTCACATAAAACCTTAATCAATTCTTCTGTGTAAATGAAAATATGTTTTTATAATACCACTATGTATTAATACTAACATGATTTTCTTCTAATATATTAAATTTTTGTAGATTTTGAAAAGCTTCTATTGCCAACAATGCTTATGTGTTCCTCACTATTTCAAAATTGCACAAGTTGCTTTTCATTTTATTGCCAATATGTGCATGCACTCATGCATCATCCAACATTTTTGTATTGATATTGACTTCTATTATTTATGAATATTCAAGTATCAAAGTGTATGATGGAATCATACAAAAATTGATTTTTCATAATATCTACATATTCAGTTCTCATATGAGCGTTGAACAAGCATTTACAACCCTACTTTGATGTTATTGGCTAATTTAATAATCCAGCCATGTCTTGTCACAATAAATCTGTTTTTTTATTAGAGTCTATTTAACATTATATTGATTGTTGATTCATGATCAATCAACACTAATATTCAATTCTTGATCTCCTTTAGCTTCACACAAATATTGGTTGTTGTTCTTCTCCTATGTAATTGACTGTAATAACTTGATACCTTCACATCTTACTCCATCTCTTCATCATCGAATTGAATTTAATAAGAAAAAATTTTCAAACATTTAATATGTATATTTTTCTATTTGCTAGAAAACAATGCTATGAATTCTTGTAATAGAATTAGGTTGCTGGACATTTATTTTTGATGATTTTAATGTGAACATCGTGAATCCTTTTTTTGACAATTTCAGAATCACCATTTTTGATAAACTTCAACTTGCTAATTAAAATGATTTTATTCAATATATTGTTCAAAATGTATTATTCAATATATTGATGCAGCCTTAATGTTTGTTTGTAATTTGTGGTAGATGCTTTTGCCTTTTTTTTCTTTGTCTTAGATGTCTCTTTGGTTCTTGAAGCATTAGCGCTTTCAATAATTGATATGATTAAAGAGATGTCAGATTGATATGTTCTTTAGTCGAACTTTTCATGTAAACTCTTTTCATTCTATTTTTCTTTCCGTTTAGTATACTTCAAATTGTATGTTTACAATATAGGCATAAACTAACATGTATCTTTTCATCCAATAGTAGCACAAATCTATATCTCCAGCCGACTCTACTTTCTTCATGATATCTAAAACATTTGATCCTAGTCCATGAAACTACGTTAAAACCTCAAGAGACCTACGAGCTTTCCATTCTTTCAAAAAAAAGCTCAAGCAGAAGGTTACGCCATCTGCTAAAGGTTGTAACAATCCTAAAATGCCGACTACGTTCGGTACTTTTCTTCTTTGCATAGACGCCATGACTTTTCGTTCTGCTAGTACTAAGAACGCGATCTTCCCCAAGAGTTCACATCGACGGGAAGGTTTGGCACCTCCATGTCGGCTCTTCGCCACCTGCTATACTTGTTCAACCTTCACATCATATAAGATGGCTTCTTCCAATACCATTGCATATGCAATAAATGCTCATCTAAGGTTTCTTATGAATCTCTTTTTTTAATGAATTAAATTTTGTATCGACGTCACTTTGTATGAAGTGTGATTCATTCACAAGTATTCTTTTGATTACTTTGAGACTGAGGGCTAAATGATAGATCTTTATTTCTAAGTACTATCTTTATTTTCTTCCAAATAATATATGTTTTTGCAGATATTGTGCAAAGTTTCCACATTATTCAATGATAATGTATGTTATCACGAAGTATTATAGAAACTTTGCTCATGAAATTTATAGAAACTTTGCACAATCTTTGCAATGTGAATATCATCACATGCACTGCTGAATGTGACCTCGCTTGTTGAAGTACTCTTTTCTAGGATGGACTTTCTAAAAACATTATCTCTTTGATAACTTTTTCCAAGTACGAATATTGTCTTTGATAATTCACTGCTAGACTATGATTGCATGGAATTATAATAATATTTTCAGTATTTAATTTTTTTATGTTTATTAGTTATATTACAATTTAATATCAATGATATAATCAATATTTCATTATATTATGTCATGTCGTATTATAAAAATTCATCTTTAAAAAAAATACTATAGAAAATTTTCCGCAGCAAATTTTTTAGTTACTACACTATACTATTACACACGGAATACTAAGTACAATCTTGCAATTTTGATTGTGTACATCAAACTTTAGCTGACATTTTCCAGTTAAATCAATTTGACTTGAGTTCATTAATCTTAACATAAAGATTCATCTAACTTATAATTTTTTAAATGAAATTTTTTTTCACAAACTCACAACATTACATTGCTGTCAACACTAAAAACATGTGTTAATTGTCTTATTTTGTTCTTCAATCTTGATATCTCACAAAAAGTATATTTTAACTTTAAAAGTTCAATTTGTAAATCATGCGTTGGCTATTTTGTAAAGTTTTTAATGTTATCATAATTATTTTTGATGAAACTCAACTAATATTTTGAAACTTCAAAAGAACTCATCTTATCAACTATTTTTCAGTCAAAATGTATCTTTTTCATACAATTTGACCGAATTCCAAATTAAAAATCTAAATTTGTATCTATTCTACACTAGTCATTAAATGATGTGATCAACTACACATTTTTAATTTTTTAATATATCCCCAAAAATAAACTGTTTTTTTTCCTAAAAATCTAAAAATCTGATCAAGCAGTATATCATTCTCATAGATGTTTTGGTGGAATGTGAAAATAATCCAAGATCTTGAATAATAAGAGTATCAAAATAAATAAACTATTCTGTAACCTTGCACTTAAAGCTTTATCCATCAATTTTGAAATCATTTTGTGAGATATTGCTTAGGTAGATTTTATATTAGAGTTATTTATCATATATCAGGCGAAATGTATGTGCCGTTTAATATGAAATAAGATATATTCCCTTCCATATACTTTATTATTCATGTCAGAATGTAATATATTCTTAGATGCAACATGTATTTATATCAATCTTAGCCATATATGCATCGATGATCACAATAGAATATTGAGATTGCTATGTAACGTGATGATGCATATTTTTTTATGTAGGTTGGTATGTTCTAGTGGACTAGAAGTCGAGCAAAATCTTTACTTGGTTTGAGAGTACTATGATATCGTTGAGTATGTGGTGGTTATCAACTGTGACATGGTTTGAGAATACCCATCTTCTTGTACTCAAGTTTGTTTGCGAGAAATTGCACACAAGTCCACAACACTAGGAATAGTCGTATGATGTCTCAACAATTGTTTTCAACTCAATATGATGCAACTATAGCAAAAGCTAATGCCATCAATATCAATCGATTTCGCTCATGTTTTCATAATTGTTGAAAGTTCTAACTAATGAAGACATCTCAAATGTAGTTACAGATCTAATCCATTGTACAATACTGGGGCTAGCCCATGTCACCAATCCAGTTTCATACATCCAACAATTTACAAAGTAGCCCTTCTTTTATTGGCATATCATTATATGTCCTATCCTTTTGCTATATTATTCGCATTCCCATGAGGTTCTGATTCCAATAAACAGAAAAGTAGATTGTCTCGCCATATAGAATACAAGAATTCTTCTCGGTAACATGCTAACAATCAATTTGAGGTCTTTGTAAGGTACACAAACCAGGACACAAAAATGTATTTACAATGTCGTAAATGCAGAACGCGAGAAAGCGTCGTCGTCGTGTCTCGGATGGCTGCACAGAAGCACATTTGGCCACCACTTGGAACATTTGGCTCGAGCGATTCGCTACTCGCGTGCGCTCACACTTGTCGCTTTGCTGCCTATTCGACAAGAACGAAGACGAGCCAATTTGTTCATGTGCCTGGACTTCAAGAATAGGGTTAGTCGATACAAGTGGCCGATTCCTCGCTAGACTTAAATCTTGAAACAGGTCTGCAGACACGTCGAATTGTTAGGCATGGCTACTCCTGTTCCTGCTCCGAATGTTGTTAACATCGACGCTTGGAGTGACATTTCATGTCCATGGTGTTATGTCGGCAAGGTCGGTGTCTCCTTCGCCGGACTTTAATGTTTTGCCGCATAATTTTGCGTATTCTGATTGCTTTTGAGTTCAGTCTGATTCCGTGCTCGAATGTAAAGATACTGATGGGCGCTGTATTCGTTTTTTTTGGCTGGAAAATTGGTATACTTCACTATTGTACAGTATTCCAATTTTCCAGCCGAGGAAATCCAATTCAGCGCCCGTACTACAGTACGGGCGCTGAATTGAGCTGGATTTGTTTTCGGTGAGAACTAATTTAGCCTCAGAATTTCAGACAGAAATTTCTTGCACTGTCAAAGAGTTACTGCGTCCTTTCTTGCGCATGGGTTCAGTCAGCTGCGATATTCGCATCTCAACAACTGAATTGTGTAATAGAAACGGTCTTCATGTGTGAGAACATTCTGTACCCGCGGCTCGCCTGTCCATGATGCTATCAAAGGAAGGCTTCCAGCTTAAACTCTTGCATTTGGATGAGCACTGTACCGGTGCTCATCCATTTTACGTTTTATCGAGTTGCTTTTCTTGACACTCAAGATTCGAGCTGAATGGTATCGGAGCTGCTGGACAAGTTTACATTTCGTTAGAATCCTACAGTATTCAATGATATAACTTGGCGTCTTGCTAGCGGTAGCGCGAACCTTCTTCAATTGATGGCGTTCATTTGTGTTGTCCTCGCAGACCCGCCTTGATCAAGCAATTCTGAATATTCAAGCCAAAACTCAAACTCCTCGAATCGTTGTGAAATGGTACTTCACTCTCAAGAAGCACATTCTCGTCATTAATCGTAATTTTTTTTTATATATATATATAAACCTTTGTTGTCAAGGAAAACCAGCCTCGATGTCCGGAATGCCGATGATTCAACCTTTTGTTATCAGCTTATCAGAGTTTTCAGCATCGTATTCAAGACGAGTTGCAACGATCGTGGTTGAAATATGCTAAGACTTCTAATCCAGCCCATTGCAATACCTGTCTGTCTACTTATTCAAATGTATCAACATTTGCAGAAGTTCCATAGGTAGGAATCTTACGAAAAGAACCCTGATTACTTTCGCTTATGAGCTCCATATTGTACTCAGGCATCCATACATGATTGATAAGAAGACTAGACCAGAGGGTGAGGAGTATTTGGCCTATAACAAACGTCGATGGGGCTCCGATTCTTGGACTCAAGACTTGCGGAGGTATCTTTCCAACTGCTAGTCCTCAGGTTCATACTGGGTAAATGTTCTGAAATGTATGTATCGTAGTCGTTATGGGCTTTCATATCTGATCAACTATTCCCTTTTCCAGATCAGGTGCCAAAAACGGTTTGAAGTTCGGAAATTGGCGATGGTGGCCGAATACTCTCAATGCCCACAGGTGTGATTCTCGATTCTCTGCTATTCTGTTGGCTACCAGAATGTGTTTGTTTCTCGAAGTCGATACCAGATTGAACTTAAACATCAACCGAGAATTGTCTTCATTTGAGATCATTTTTTTAATTTGGTGTTGTTTGCAAAATTGTTCTGGCAGGCTAATACTTCTAGCCGAAACCTATGGCAGAGGTCCTGATGCCAAGCAACTTTTGCTTCTGAAAACTTACGAGGAAGGTGCAAATGTTTCAAAGCTTGACGTCCTTATTTCGGTGGCGAATGAACTTGGCTTGCCTGGTGCTGAGGAGTATCTTGTAAGTCATCTCATCTTTACTTCAACGACCATTTTATAGTTTTCTGACCTTGAGATACTTGTTCATGAGATACAGGATTGTTCTGGTGAATTCCGCTCCTTCGAAGATCACCTGTAGCCATGTTTAGTGTGTATGTTCATTCTGGGGCTCCATGACTTTAAATGAGTCCTTTGGATATCAATATGGAATGAAACATTTGTACTCACGGAGGCCAAACTAAAGGAAACTTAGCATGAAAACAGAGTTCTCAGAAGCTCGTTAAGTACGAGCGTTTTATGATCTTTCGTGCATATTTCACTAGTAATGTTCGTAGCGGAGTAGATTTGGGGACGGCTGTAAATTCTGGCTCAATCTTTTTTCATACCTTCACGTTGATTTGAAGGTATCTCATGTGTCGGGGGAGTTCCATCTCTGAATGTGCAGTTGTTGAGCGTCTTGGATTTCTCTGAATGAAGAGGAAATTGACGGTGCTCCAAGCCGTTTTATATCAACATGTGAACTTATTTTCGAAAAACTTGTGTGAGAAGAGCAAAACAATCTCTAGAGTAAGGGATCGTAGAAACTGTAATTTCAATGGGTTAATTGAGAATGTTCCGTAATACACAATTTTAACATTAAGGGCCAGCTAGGTGTGTTGTAAAAACCTGCTAAAATTTTGGCCTCGCTATTGACAGACTAATGTACATCGCTGGTCTTCGTTCGAGTCGTTGCAAAAGAGTGTCTGCTGCTTTATATATAGAATTGTGCGATAGATCTTGTACCAGTATATTCAACTTGAACCAACGTTTGTATTTTGAACTTAACTGTCGTTGTTCCTTCCTATTTGTGAGAGAATGAACTGTTTTTTGGGCTAGGTACGGGAACACACAAAGAAAGAAAGAATGGAATTCAAAGTTCATTAGAAGCACAACCCATTCATGGGTCTCTTGGTAAAATGACGAGACTTGTGACAACAACTTTTTACTGCTATAATATACTCATATACTTATTCTTCTCAGTGAATCAGCGGTGCAAATAAATCAGAGTTCGTTATTAACAAATCTGCAAAGTCTACGCAGTTCGAATATGTAAAGGGCAATGAAACATAAATGCTCTTTCTTATCCAACAGCCCCCAAGAACGGGCCGTACATGTGGTCTCGGTCTCTTGCGCAACATCGGAATTGCTTTTCTTGATTGCTTCTCCTTGATGGCTTCTAAGCCATCAAGGAGCGTCGTGAAGCGATCCTTAACTTGAGTTTCACTCTGATCGACGAGTGATTTTTCTTAGTCTACACATTTTGAATGCTTATGAAAGCTGATTGTCGCCTGATATATGCAGAAATCAGATCAAGGGACAGAGGACGTACTGGCGATGGATTCACGTGCCAAATCTGCCCTAGGAATACATTCAGTCCCTCATTTTAGGATAAATAACAGACTCTCTCTTTCTGGAGCTCAGGTATCACTCAGCGCTGACCTCGTGTTTTATAATGGATTTTACTGAGTTCTCAGTCAGAGCCAATCCCCCCGTCTTTGTGTACATCTGCTGTCACGCCTGTCCCACTAGCTGAGCAGATGCTATGCAGTCAGTCAAAGGGTTCGAGGCCTAGCGCCACAGGGGTTAGAACCTTCTCTAATTATTGTTTGCTGTTTTTGGTTGTTCGTTTTCTTTTCTCCCCCGTTGACAGGATGTTACAACTTTTGAAGCTGCAATCTCAAAAGCGATCAAGCAGACGCAAGAATGAGCAGCGTTTGTCATAATTGAAACTTGTTGCGGGATAACTTCCAGCCAGCAGAAGCATTTCATTTGTCCAAGTGAATCTGGGAGAGATGCGGATAGCGGTATAATTAGAACAAACTGAGGATGTTCCTGTACAGATTTAGAAGACGACATCCAGCATTGCTTGTAAGTTGGTCGAAGACGGCCACAAACATGATGAAGTAGATTATGTAACTATATTCTGCCCTGAAACTTTTCCTACGATGTAATACTCTTAATTTGGCGCACATTACTGAAACCACGGTCGAATTCGAGCTTGAGTATGGTCTCACTTGCAAGGAATGTGGTGGTCCGAGAGTATCACTAGGTTTTGATTGTCCGTGGAGTTTGTCTTGAAAGATTCTGAGCCGAAGAGCATTGTGATAGCTAGCGTTATCCATGTCATGTATGTTATAAGGTTGATTGTACAGTTTAAATCCCACTTTCGTAGACCATGTCTTACGGACTCTTCTTACCTTCTTACCGAGATGTGAGTTTGAGTTCTTCGCACGCCCAAGCAATGAGCGGCGTTGCATCTATATGGTCGAACTGTTTTTTCAGTTTACGTTATTCGGTTTCTCTGGTTTTAAACCTTCAAAGTAAATGTGGATCCTGAATCTCTTTTCCAGAGTAAGTGAAGCTCTCGTGAATTCAACAACACGCAATCTGCAGGACAGCATCAGATACATTTGACCATGTAGGCATATTGAACTAGGAACAAAGTCGGAAAGTGATCATTTTATGGAAAGCAATGAGTAAGATCCATCCAGCCTTGCCGAGTGATACTTTGTAAAAGCCTGAGTCCGAAGGACGTCTGTCTGCAGAACTTAAATATCTAGGTTACCTTTTCGGTTCAGCAGTTCAATACGAGCTGAACTCTGAGGGTCTGAAACTGATTATCAGGAAGAAAAGGTAACGCCTATGTGTTCTTAACCCTGTCGTCTGGTGTTTGGGATTGAGGTCTTGATTTCAAACAAGCCAAACTTTCACTGAAACTGCGTTTTTGTGAGTATCAAATCCAATTTCATCTTGAGGTGGCATCTCTGGCTATTCAAGTGTCAAAAGAAGTAAAAAGTAAGAAGGCAAAGCTTATAGTGGCAGATTACAAAAATATCGATTTTTGCCACGATGCGGTCACTACGAGCCGTCTCAGTTGAGGTCTGTTTTCATCCATTTGGTGCATATGACAAAAGGTATCAGTCTTCTTCACAGTGAGGTGGTACTCGTCCAATCATCAATCTCACAGTGAGTTAGTGCACTTCTCAGGTTGATGGCTATATAAAAAACCTGATGACTTGCAAAACGTTGTCGATGTGGATTACTCTATGCTCTTCCTAAGGTTTTCTAGCTTTACACATCATGCCCTCATTCTTTCACTTCCTACAACTGTTCCGTCACAATGTGATGTTTTGACCTGGTAGCGAAAGTTCTGTTGCAGCGGATATGGTGATTTTAACCCACTACTTGGTAGAGTACTTGCTAGATCCAACTCGTGCAATGTTCGCCTGACGAGACACGGATGCAACGAGAATGGAGCCTCTTTGCCCTCTGGTTAGTGCAGTTGCTCCGCCAGGACATCTTCCTTCTCCCCGTAGACAATAAAGAAGTAACGACTAGCTAGTCTGAATCTCTATTAAATGTCGGACATCGGTGGGGGTGGGGCCGGCCTTAACGGGGAGAGGTATGTGTCCTATTATATGAATGCTGACCTCATTGCCTTCGATTTGCGTATGCCTCGAGGGGCTGATATTAACTCGGTTGCCTTAAGAGCAGCGTGTGATCTTCTTAAGGTTTCATTGAGTGCCAAATCCTGATTCATAATTGTAAACCGAGTTTATTTAGAATTCATGTCAGGCCATTCATCCGTCCATCAAATTATGCGGTTCCCATCTCAACCGAATGCGAATCGATATCCAGATGCTCATGGATTTTCCAGTCGGATGTCTGTGCTCAATATTTAGTCTCGTTATTTCGAGGAGGATATGCGTTCATACATCGACCATGTCATTTTTTATTGAAGGCATGTGACCCTGTCCGAACAGGTTTACACCAACATTTACCGTCTTGAGAGATTGATTTACACAGAGATCTCGTCAGCGCTTTGGTTTAATTGAAATATGACCTGGACTGCTCGGATTTCACACATTACTCAATTGGTTGCTCGAGGGGAGGGCAAACCTCATTACCACTTACAAAGCTTTTGAAGATGCTGGTCGAACTGAAAGGTCACACTTAAACGCAGGTGTGACAAACATTGCGTCGTCTGAACATTACTCTGCAGCCTTCACTGGCTCTTGCTTTGCTTATCAGGTAGTCGTCATGCTTCCATGAATTCCTCAAGAGTTGTGCCTTCTCAGCTCTTGAGAGTTCTGCTGGTAAGAGCAGCATGAACCGCAATCGGTTCCATCGAAATGCTTGAGAATCTATAACAGTTTCAACCCGAGCTGATGACGAGACCAGTATAGCACAAGAATCAGTTTGTTCTTTATGAATGTGCAATTGCAGTCAGCAGTCCGAAGGCAACACCTTTCTGCCAATATGCGAGAGAATAGAAATTGAAACTCATTAATCCATCAGGAAAAGTTAATGGGATCTTCCGAAGACATGTTAAAGAACGGGCTTTCAATGCTGCACACAACTTGTCATCTAGTAAAGTCTGTGGAGCAAACGAGGAGACATCGGAACTAAATTTGGCCTGGCTTTCAAGTCTGCTGCTGTCTGCAGAGTGTTTTGGGCATCGAACGGACAGAGTTCGGGTCATGGACATCAGCTTCAGGTGAGGGAGCCATGAATATGAGGATCAGAAAGAAACGCATCATCGTCGATGCAGTAGGAGAAGACAAGAGCATCTTTTCATGGACATGTAATCCTCATCGCTGGCGCGATGAACAAGTTTAATTCTGCTCGAGTTTGGCGTTCAGGGCTGACAATTAAAGTCTTTCTTATTATGGATTGAAAATGTCTCTCCTGCAGATTCACTCGGCAAACGCTCGGCCATTGTTTGAGCTGTGCGGACAAACCATTCCGGCCAAACATCTTCAAAGCAAACTCAACTCTCTCTCTCTCTCTCTCTCTCTCTCTCTCTCTCTCTCTCTCTCTCTCTCTCTCTCTCTCTCTCTCTCTCTCTCTCTCTCTCTCTCTCTCTCTCTCTCATATGATGATAATTGACCGACAGATAGGGAGGTCCAAGGCTTGTAACCATTAGCTGGTGGTTCCGAATGAAGCGAGTAGAGGCTCAAATGCTGCCGTCCGGGACACAAAAGTCGGCAGCTCATGAGGCCTGGTCTGAGACGGAAATGATTTGAGAGTTATGAGGCTACATGCAGGGAAAGCCAAAACCTGGGGGCTTGACATTCATGTGAGCTTGGTAGGATTCGTGGCCGAGGTGGAAGAGGTGGAAGCCCTGCAGGTTTGAGCTCGACTGGATTCTCAGGCCATAAATTTCATGTGGAAAAGTTGGTTCAACGAGCGGCTGCACACTTGGCGGCAGCACTTTTGTCAGCAAATGCTCGTCAAAAGTGCTCCATTCTTCACAAGTGGCTCATGGCTCATGAGCCAAATCATCCTGGAATTGAAGAGGCATCACTAAATCTTCCGCCCTCCTCCGTCTCCTTTTTCTCGACGGGTGGATAGCGGACCGACACTCCGAAATCCAATACCTGATTACGACAGGCCTGTTGCTTTTAAAGTGCTTTTCGTTGTCGAGGAGAGGCCTGAATTCGCATCACATGAAAATGAATGATCTTCTTGACCATTGTTTCGATATCATCCACATCACATTCCAATTGGCACATAATTCCACATGTCACAGGCTCGATTGGACTCAATAATATGCAAATGCGCAAGTACAGTTCATTCAATAGATGTTCTCTCATGCGCAGAACGTTGCATTGCAACAAGGCACGAAATGATGCACTAGCAAATGATTCGATGATCCGAGCTTCGAGCTTCTTCTTCCAGCCAGCCAGCCAGCCACATCAACCGTCACGTTCCGTGTGCGCAAGCCTCAAGCTTCAAGCCTCGAGTCCCGGACTCCTTGTTCTGCTTCTCTTCTTCCGCAGCCACTCACCTCCCTCTCTTTACTCTGTCTGCAGAAGTGCTGCAGACGGAGTCCAGGCAGATTGAAATCCTCTCATGACATCACTTAAGTCTGCGAATTCTGCATTGTGCCTTTTAGTCTTAACTATCTTTGGGATTGCATCACATTCATCTCCTGGAATCCAAGAGCTCTGTGTGAGGAGGGCTGGAGAGAGAGAGAGAGAGAGAGAGAGAGAGAGAGAGAGACTTTTGGCCGAATTCAGAACGGACGAAAATTAAAGGAAGCGAGGAAGGTCACCTAAACCCACCAGACGAAATCTCGGGTTTGGCCGAAAGTAGAAATCTTTGACTTGACCAAGCAGCAGCAGATGGTCGGTCTACAGAGAGAGATGGAGGTGGAGAGAGAAAGGTGAAACTCAGTTCCGTTCCGAGCTCGTTGGACATGCCTCCGAAGCATCCAAATTCATCGGCCTCCCCGCATACTCTGTGCTGCTGCTGCTGCTGGGTTGACTCGAACCTCTCATCATCCTGACAGCCTCGCACACAACGACGACCGTGGCTTCTCTCATTGGACGGCTCCTTCTTCTCGTGCTGCTGCTGCTGCTGCACCCACCGGTCACTGGTCCTCCTGTCCTGGCTTCCCCCCTGCCTCCCTCCCTCCTCTAACGGGACGGGGCCTCGGTTCTCTTCCATGGAGTCTGGAGACTCTGGCCTTGCGACGGAGGACGTTCTTCCACCGGAGGTACGGTACGGGGGCTGGGCTTGGGGCACTGGGGCCTGTCAGGATGACGGTCCGTGAATGGTGCGGCTATCCAAAGGCTGACAATCGACGCGATGATTGACTCGAATTCAATGGAATCGGGCGTGGACCTGGCGCTTAATCCGCCGAACACGCTTGCTTCTGTACACGGGACCAGATTTATTTATCCCCAACCCCATCCCCCGACCGCTAGTCTCCAGAAGTGAGCCGAAACCCTTGCCACCTTCCTTTGACCCCACATGAAAATGGCACTCGAAGAGTGTCCCTTTCGACAACATCGGCGCAGGAAAATTTCACATCCAACGAGTCCACATTGATGCCAATCTTGGAAGGAAAGGGGCCAAGTGGATGGCAAAGGTAGAGGAAACAATTTATATTGTCAAATGTACGGGAACATTAATTCACTCAAATGTTTCACAGAGAAACCGAGCATATCATTGGAGCTAGTGATTTTTGTAAATTTAGAGCAAACATTTGTGTAATCTAAGTTGGCACACAGTAACTATTAAAATATGATATACATGCCATCTAGAATAAAAGTGGTACTCACTCTCTATCACTGACATGTAAACTTCCACATCCATGTCAGCATTAAACTAGTGTCTTGGTTATTTGTGGTTAGTAATACTATTTTACTAGCATTATATAAAAGAATATAGAATAAGCTCTATAAGAGTTAATTAAGTATGGAAGTGAATGAATGTTTGTGTTTCATGGAGTTACGTATGAATCACATATTTCATTTGCCAACTCCTTGAAAATGATCATCACTTCTAACCTTAACCTAGACCCCATAGCCACGTATTACTTCAAAGCTAGAGACGAAGAGTGACGTCTTTGTAAATCAACGAACTAAAAGCTCTTAAGTAAATTTTCTTTTCACATATCCTTTTCATCAAGATGAATCATCAAATTTTCGGAAACTGTATCAAAAATAGGGTAGTTTATCATTATGATTTCATTTTGTTATAGTAACATCATAGTCCCGAACCCAATATACATATGATTTTATCCTAGTCTTAATCGTATCAAAATTCTTTTTTATGAGTCTTTTGAACATACACATTTTTAATGGCATCATGGAGAGCTATGATGTAGATGGATCTATCAAATTAAAGCTAAACCTCATCGTTATGAACAAAGTAAATGCAAGTGAACGAGCTCTAATTACAGCTAAGGTAGTCAAATTTTAAAATCATGCATCAGTGCCAAAGCAAGAGTGCAAAAGTCTTTGTAGTACAAAGACTGGCTAAACTTACTAAAAATAGACACTTCTTATATTTCTGCTTATTCTGTATCTAATATATTATCCTCATATGATAAAAAATTTATATCTTGTGGATACACTATATTTATAAGATATTACGCTACAGCGGTAAATTAAATAAACTTAACCCAAGATGTATTTTTTAAATAAAATTGTATACTACACAAAAGTTTCATACATGTTTCGATTTTTTAAGTAATTATTAAATATGAGATTAAAAAAAATTTAACGTAAAAATAATTTAAAATAAATAAATTCTAAAATATGTATATATATATATATAATGATATAATTTTTGAAAAAATAATCTTTCAATAAATTTTTCCAATATTTTAAAAAAATATACCTATCACTAAAAAAATGAAACGTTTTTTTTCCAAGTTTTATAATAGTGTAAGAAAACTAGAAGGATAATATATACATATATTTATTTTAAATTATTCAGTGGTTTTAATTTTTGTATAAAAGATTAAAAATAATTAATTGAAAAAAAACTTTCAATACACGTTTTTGTGTTTATATCTGGTTATATGTTTATATTTTTTTTATCTGGCATACACTCCAATTTTTCCTTCTGCTTCCAGTTCTTTCATCCCCATCCTTACATTTCTCGTCGTTTATCGTTTGATTATTGCCGTCTTAGCCTCGTCTATGGAAGACTCGTTAGAGCACACAGTAGCAACCCTCAGGAAAATATGAAGCACTTCGGCAATTTCACAAATTCTAATTTACATTTGCCACGGTGAAGAAAAAGAGCGGAGGTTGCTCGAAACCCTACATCTCGACTGTGACCCGAGGTCTACCCATGGATCGAACCAGGGGGTGAAAACGATTATACTCATTCACTCACTCATTCATTGCATCTTCAGTAATCATCGAGCTCATGAGAGCTTCCCAAAGCAGGGGGCACAGGATAGACGGTTCCCTTTCCAAGGCCATGATGCCCCCTGCCCCTCCCCCACTCCCATGTTCTTGTACCGCCCAAGCGTAGGTTCTAACCCTTCCTGCGCTCTCTGAAGAAGCTCCGAGATTCTCGCGCAGAGTCGCGAGGGATTCGGCAGCCGACTTTTCGCGCCGTCATGTTTTCTCAGCCAATCAGGGCTTTCTCCTTACGTCTCCGCTCATGCATCGACACGGGGACAAAGAACTTTGCGCCCGTCGCGACGGAAATTCGAGGGCGACTGACGCGACTGACCGCCTGGTGACGGGAAGCCTGTGGCTACTCACCTACTGGAGAAGGTTTCTGGGCTTGCGAAAATCGAAACCGTATTAGAACCTTTGAGTGCGGGGCGCAGTCCTCAGGACTGACCGGGGCTTCTGAGCATGCGCGAAGGATCGAGCGCGGGTCCCCAGAAGCCCAAGCGCGGCAGGAGAAGTGGGGGAAGGACACGCGGACGAGGAACGTGGAAGATGCGAAGAGCACGTGAAGACGCAGGTGGGGCTAAGAGAAGAAGGAAAGAAGGAAGGAAGGACGCGTAGGAGGGAGGGAGGACTCAGCGGCCCTTGGCAAGGGTCGAGCACCGGGCGGCGCATCAGCCCCAGGCCAAGGCCAAGCCCGAGCCCAAGGCTCAGGTAAAGGCCAGCCAGGGCCGAGCGCGTGGGGCAGGGAAGGGCCAAGGCTTATGGCAGCACGTTACCCCGCCGAGATCTGTGTCTTTCACCGGTACGACGACTCTCTGCAGCCGGTTCCTCCCGGTGGTTCTACTCATCGTTCCGACAGATTCTACCCCGTCCCCTGCGGTGGCGCCGCTTCTCTCCCGCAAGCCCACAGCTACCCCCGAATCCTACTCTTGCCCCCATTCTCGAGAGCCGTCAGTTCTCAGGCCCAGCGGCAGAGCACTCGAACAATAGTGAGACAATTCTGCCTGTGCACATCCACCAAATTCGAGCATCATGATACCATCCCTCGTCAATTATTCTGCTCGAAGCAAGTAGCGCAGCAGCAGAAGAAGAAGCAGAAGCTGTAAGTGGGTAACAAGACCCTGAAGCCATCTATCATCGATAGATAAGCTAGAGGTTTACAGGGTGGGGAATTTCGGATGTTTTTCCATAGAGAGTGGAGCAGCTTTTGAGCTGGAACGATGATCTGAATAGAAGATCGACATGGATCTTGGGCAATTCGTGTAGTGGAGTGGGGTGCTTGCTCCCTGCAATCCTCCTGGTCGAGCTTGAGGTGAGTGAATCGGAACCAGGTGCTCGGTTTGGAAGTGAACCTGTTCCACGTCTGGCTTCGGCGACATGACATCGTGATGGGGAGGAGGAGGAGGAGGAGGAGGAACAGACAGATCTGCCTGGATACGATGTGAATCCTCACAAGGATTTGATTCGTTCACCACTGAGCTCCTGAACCACCGTCTCTGATAATCATGTCACCCTGATGTGACGTTCATGAGACCATCCCATCCCACGGAAGAACGAAAAGCGAGTGCTAGGTATTGAGAAAGTATGTCCTCTACGGAAAGACGTGACTGACGTTCCTCTGCCAGCGAGAGCGTGGTTCAAGCCCATGTACAACTGTAGTGCATTCAGATGCTCGTCTTCCCTCGTCATCTCGCTAATTTGTGAGCTGAATTTCGAGTATAAATGGGTTCACTGCAGAGCAAAGACGAGGCCGTTTTACCCGATTGGAGGAAGTAAGATTAGAAAGTACTCGATCTGTCCATGATTGAGGCCATACTCGAGAGTAGTCTACAAAGCCTCAGAGCACAAACTTGCGTCGTCAGTCAGAATAGGCACCTCCAGCCGGTCTAGGGGAACTCTTTAGTGCATAGCTCGTTTGTAGCTCTATTATCATTACCATTACCATCGCTCGTCGTCCTCGTCCTCGTCGTCCTCTGGGGCTTGTAGACTCGTAGCCTCATGTAATTTGTTGTACGCTAGGGGCTTAAAATAGCTCGAGACTACCTCTACGGACCCCCAAGCAAGTCAATCAACGAGGAAAACAAATCCTGCTGCTGCCCACGCTCAGAGTCGCCTACGGGTCGCCGATCGATCTGCATCATCAATGAGACGACATTAAAGTGGACAGAAATCCTTCACACCTCTCTCTGCTCTAATCAGCCACCGGGCTCTTGTGAGAGCTCGATGCTTGCATCTCACCGACCGAGTTGTGGCCAGCGGTCACCGAAGCACTTTTGCTGTTAGCCCCAACTTGACAGCCTCGTCATTAAGGGGCTAAACACGGCGGGCTCATGAAAAGCGAGCATCGCTCTGTCAGACATCTCTAACCCCCGCCACTAAAGTGACTTGCTAATTCCGCCTCATCAGTGTCCTTTTCACAAGAGTCTGGGAGAGCCAACGAGTTGGCACGAGCTTATGTAGCGGCACCTCTATGCAGGTCTATGTGCTTCTGACCGACAGAACATTTAGAGCCAACTTCGCAATTAACACTCTCAGTTTTAGACTTGTTGTTAACGCCAATAATGCATCTAAAGCTGTTAACCCTGATTGGTAAAAAAAATTCTTCTAACCGCTCAAGCAGAAGTGGTTATCATTCCGACTCTCATTCGACAGGGTGCAGATTTTTTAGTCGAGACTTTAAGAGAGTGGAGGTTGTTTGAGCATGACATCTTCTAACCTCCAAATGGGTTTGGCTCGAAACCAAATGAATGTTTTAAGCTAAGTTATGAACTTAGATTATTGTGGAAGTTTTAGGAGTAGAGGATTTCATCAAAAGGACTCAAGGTGGATGGCTTATTTTCGAAACTCTGCATTACTCAAGATCATTTGGTGAGTTTCGATTAATCATAACTTTATGGTTTTTTCTATGGATTTTAACATGGTGATTGGAGAGAAGATCATGGTGCATTAGCAGAGATTTGAAATGGAGAAAAATACTGAGGTAAGAAATTACTACAACAGTTTGGCTTGGAGAAGATAGTTGTAAACTGTGGCGTCCAACTATCTTCTTAAGGGATGGGAAGTCGATTTATCTAGCATTCATCTCTTTCTGAGATAATTTGATAGAGGTTCACAGCTACTCATTGAAAGTTAACTTAGGTATTTGGAATTGGATAATCCGAAAAGGGATAGTGATATAGATTTTTTTCTAGTAGAAAATATTCTATTATGCACAGTTGTGTGTGTGTATATATATATATATATATATATATATATATTGATGTGAAAACAATGTATATTTTGCAAAGATTCGTTTGCGCAACAACGCCAAGAAGGAGGTTGCTTCTTTTGCTTCCTGAGACTGAAAATGGTTGAGTAGAGTTAAATTATTTTCCTCGATGGTGTGCAGACTAGACGAAAGACCTACAAAGAACGAATGGTTGATTTTATTGATTCTATAGGCCCTGACCAATTGAGCGAGCAGTGTGAAGATATCTGATAGGCTAGATTGAAATCCCGAACCGAGCTGAGACGGATCATGGAGTCCGTGATAGATGATGCAGAGGAGATGTTGGAGTTGAAGTGAAGTGTGGTGTGTGTGTAAAGTGCTCACCAACAACAGCAGGCAGCAAATCTGCAGATCAGCAGTGCCCTGCCAGTGAACACTTGTGGCTGTACAGCTGGAAATAAAAGTATCGTTCCCCCAAACTGTTCGAGAGAAAGCCATGGACTTTTTTCGCCGACTAGCCTGGAGCGATTCAATCACCTCAACCACTCTCGACAGCTCGAAGCGTGAAAACATGTCGAACGGCGATAATGCATCCATGCTTCCATCTCCAAATGCTCCACATCAACTCCATAATTGGAGCGCAAGACTCTCCCCCTCCCGATGCCAACAGCAGACTGGATGAATGGACACATCGCCTCCGTTGGAAAAGTCGATGCCTCACGTGTTAGCAAGCAGTGCCATCATCAACTCACACACTTAAATAAATGAAATCGGAATGAACTACGAAGAAAGTAAGCTTTTTATAACGACATATAACCGAGCGAAGGAAGAAGGTAACCCAGTGATCTAGCGAAAAGGATGGGAATGGAGGAGGCCCCATCCATCAAGTCCTACAGGGATGAAATGAAACCAAATGCGAGGATCTGCTTTCCACCTTCATGAATGACTGAAAGACTGAATGAAGAGCCAGGAATCTGCGAGCCTGGTACGAGAACAAACCTCCGAAGGCATGACAAGATTCCTCGTCTGCCATGAAAGCCTATGATAGAAAGTGATTACGCACAGCAGTACGATCATCCACAGCTCCGGTGCCCGCATGAAAATTGCTTCGCAAATAAATGTGTTCCAATTAACGCCAGAATTCCTCGAAAGGCTTTCCATCATGAGGGCTGTAGTAGTCCATGGTCGAGTATAATGCCATCCATCAAGTGGAGAGACAATGGTCGGTCGGCTTCGGATCGAAGTCCAGTACGAAGAAGATGAAGAAAGGAACGGGATCCCGCCTCAAAGTCTGGAGACGCTTTCCGTCCATCCCCCGAGGAGACCCGGGGGTACAAGCCCCTGTTTCCCCCCACTCCAGATCTGATTCGTGCAGCCGGACGGTCTGGACGAGAGTATCCGTCGCTCCGGCCCCCGAAAGCAAGAGTCCAGACCACAGTCCTGTACATGCATCATACGGGCGACAAAACCCCGTGTCCATGCGAAACTCACAGCCCAATCTGAATCTGCAAATCATTGCAGTCTATCTACTTTCAGAGATCATCGCAGGACTGGAGAGAGAGAGAGAGAGAGAGAGAGAGAGAAAGGGGGATTCCTGATCCCTCCCTCCATCCAGAGCCTTGGGGTTAGTTGTTAGTTCCTGAAGGGCTAGTTGCTGGCTTGGGCCAGAGGGTAAAGCTCCTGGCGAGAGCATGTGATGGTTGCCAAGGAGCTGGTCTGCTAATCTGATGAAATGATGAATTTTCTGTGAGTTGGACGAGAAAGGGGAGCCATATTATTCCTGACGCGAATCTTCGAGTGGTAGGTTGCTTTTGTTTGTTTGTTTGTTTGTTTTGTCGAGCGAAAGGAGAATGGTGAAAAGTGGCGAAATGGAGCAGAAACAGCGGTTGCTGTGTCTGCTCTGAGCAGCTGGATTTCTGTGAATCTAGGCTAGGCTATGGATTCTCATTTCTGCAAGTGAAGGACTGACTCCACCTCTCAGCTTCGCGTCATCCATATCCGCTCTTTCTTCATGAGCTTGAGAATATTAGGAGGAGGGATCAGCATCGGTCAAATCAGCATCGTCACAAACAGACCTCAGACAAAGTTCCTCTGCCTTGAGTCAGCAGCATCAATCTTCCTTCCTTGCTTCCATCCATCAACTTTTCGCCACGTTCAGCGTCCAAACAACTTTGGCACAGCTTCCACAAACCGCCATTTTTCTTCATACGAGTGATCATCTCTTCCGGATGAACTCTTGTCTCCACACTGAATAAATAAACAATATGTCGCCCCCTTCTGATTCTCCCTCTCCCCGACCCAACCTGCCCTCACTTTCGTATTATCTTTTGTCATAGAGGAAGAGGCGTTTGAAATAAAGAAGCAAGACTCCAAACAAAAGTTGTGAGCAAGGGTGAGTCTGTAAGGTCTACGAGCATTTCGATCACAGATGAAATTAAAATCAATTTCCCATCCCGAGCATCCATAATAATCCCAGAGTTTGCAAAAGAAAGGGTGGGTACGGTTGTGTCAGGGCATGACAATTCCAGTTGCATAGCGTATACTCTGTCGATCCCGACCGAAAGTATCACTTTTGATTCGAGAGCTAGCAAACCAAAAGTTCTTTGCAAGTCTCCAGACAGAAGCACGTGAACTTGCAACATATTCTAAATCAAAAGATGGTCGAGGTTGCATGTCTTTATATGGGAGCGATGGGATCATAGCTACTAGCAGCTGCCACGCTTGCTTGCTCCCCTACTTCCAAACCGTGTGCCTGGGGAAGATGTTTCCACCTTTGGGAGGAGGGGTTCCATGGCGTATACCGTTAGTCTCGAAGCTTCAGCAAGATCGAAGGGTGCACTTCAGCAAAAGTTGGATGCAGTGCCTCGAGAATGGGGAAGGATGTTACCGACTCGAGTGGTAACACTTGGACAGATTCTTGAACCCCATGAATTCTTCCTTTTGGGCCTCCTCACGGTCTGATTCAAAAGGTTCCATGGCGTGTCAAAGGTGAACTTGATCTCAGCAAACAGATGACATGACTTGGAAAGAAACTCCTTGACAGTCATGGATAGATTCCGTGCTTTCGCCTCTTGGGAAAGGAGGAGTGTACGTGCAATTTGCAAATCTTTCTTGTCTTGGAGACCATTGTCCACACCCAGAGACGAGACGGCCCATGCTTCGACAACGCTTTCATGGGGTTCTTAGGTGTTCAAAGATGCTCGCTGCAGTTTCTGACAGTCAGAGCTGCAAAGGGAGGGATGAATCTCATCATCACTTCCTATTCACCAGGCTACCCGTTTGGTTTGGTTTCATCCCTGTGCGGTTCGTTGAGGTCTTCCCATCCTTTTTGCTGTATTACTTCGTGCCTCGCCAAGTTACTTATCTCTGTCACGTAGCATTTCATTCCTTTTGTGGATGGGAGCTACGAAAGTGGAAATTTACTACGACGGTTGGAACTGACCAGATGGCGCAAGTGTGCACTTTATGTGTGGCTTGCTACAAAGCTTCAGAAGTTTATCTTCTGAAGGAACAAACCTTCAAGTGTGTTTGAGAAATATCGAGGGATTGCAATTCCCTCACGAGGGAGGCTTAGAAAACGGAATGCCATGGCAAAACAATCATGAATCCCTTCCAGATGAGGTCGTCGGCAAGTCAATCAGTGAAGAGTTCTCGTCAATCATTCTCGTTCGCTTTTGGGAGCGATCAAGTGTTCGACTTGTTGGCAAATGGTGAGAGTGTGGTCCCAAGAGGGTTAAGCTCAAAGAGGGTGCAGCTGCTTGCTTGTTTACCGAGGCACCCGACGCATCGTACTTTGTTCTGCTTATTTTTCGACACCCTGTCATCCAAAGTATTAATGACAAGAGCTTATATCATCACTCATCCTCTCTGTATACTGGCCACGAGTCCTCACCCTTAAAAGATCACTCTACGCTTGAAGGTCCTGTAGCCAGCAGCAGCAGCAGCAGCAGAGCAGAGCAGACGGAGGCCGACCGAGGCTCTAGAGCCTGATGGACGGGCAAACTCATGAGAGACGACCGTGAACTCTACGGAAACTCTGGAAAGAAACCATCCATCGCTGATTGGGATAGAGGAAAAGATCTCGACTGCATCTAGTGAGCCACTGAGCGACCGACAAATCTCTCCTCGGGCCTGTTCCATGGCCTTTTCCCTTGGCCACATCAACGGAGGAAATGCTCCGAAAGCTCATGAGCACAGGTTTATTTCCGATTGGGCGCCTGTAGCTAGAAATAGCGTCTTTATGAGTCGCACATGATTGTTTTTCTGGATCATTCGCCCGAGCGTATTTACTACAATCATCACTAACAAGTATTTTATTCGTTTCCCCCCGCTGTAGAAATCCCGCAAGGCAAAATAATTCGGGACTCTACATTCTCCAGCGCTGTAGCTCTACACTGAATACATTCGATTGCGTTGAGTACAAACCCAATACAATGAAACGAGTCTTACCTACCAAATAAACTGCTGTACAAAATGCGCGTATATAAAATGTAATCTCGAGGAGTCAGGAGATAAAATATGGGGAAGTATCACGAGAAATTTTCCATCGTCGAGGGCCATATTGAATGGGATTATTCGTCTTTGATTGTCTGCATGAATGCTTGTGCTCGAAAAACCTCTCGCTTCAAGTGTTGCATAAATGAACGCAAATCTCTCCGAGATGGAATGACCTCGTGCATTTGAAATGAAGTCGGTCAGTCCCTCCAAAGAACGATCCATTGCTCTCATACTCTCGAAAAGACTTGTTGCATTCTTGTTCGAGGTCAGCTCGCTTGATGTCCTCTATGGGAAATGAAGGGCACACCCAGCCCCTTGCAAAAACAGAAGAGGGCATCGCTGAATTCCATCCACTAGCATTCAAATCGAGCATTATTACGTCCTTGTCGGCCCGAGCCTACGAGCTGAACTTTACAGAACTCCGTGTCCTGCTCATAACCTCCACCAATCCAGGACTCATGTCATCACCACGAAGTAATAAGCAACGTCAGCGGGAGCACCGCGAGGCTGTGCCAGTGCTAGCGCAAGCGGTACAAACCTCCTCTTTCGTAAGATAATTTCATTCCTCGGCCAGCCAATAATCGAGCAGCCCACTTCCCAATTTGCTCGCAACGTCGGGATTCGTCTTTACTGATCAACTGCAAACCAAAGCTGCTTCTGAATCGATCATTGTAAGTTATGCAAGAACTCCAAGGACGAGCCCTCACACTTATTACAATCAGTTGTGTCACTTTCGTCTTCTAGGCCTTAAGTACCACCATTGTACCGTTAACATGGACACAAAAACCATGATCTTCGATCCAATTTGCGCCATCTCACTGCTGGGCGAGCATACGGACCGTCCAGATGCCTGCGGGGCAGTCATGATGATTTTCTTACAGGAGGATTTCAGCAGCACCTCTTTTGGGAATGGGAAAGGACTCTCTCCTTGGGAATAAAACACGATATTATATTTCTCGGATGCACTGATCAGCAGAGAGTGTGTAATTATCAGGCGGTAATAAAATCCGAGTACACGGTTCTTGAGGACCTGCTCGGGAAAGTATTGATTACGGTCTGAGTCGTTGCTATATTTGGTGATAAACACGTTTACCTTTTCTGATACGAATACGCAAGATCTGTACACATGCAGACGCAGGATGACAGACCCTGGATACCGTCGAGCCCAGATGCATGATGGGAGCTCGCTCGCTCGCTGCAATGCTGCAATGCTGCAATGCTGCCCAGTGCCTCGGCGCTCTAGGGACACCTGCCGAGAGACTCGGTGACAGTCCAATCTTTTCGAATATACGACGAGAGGGACACATTAATTGTGGCGGTCTGCGATCGGAGTGGTGGCACTGTGGCACCAGCGCACTGACCACGACAGGCACGTCACCTTGCAGAGGCAGTAACTGCGGCGATGCGAAGTCTCTTCCCGTGACTTTGCATGGACTCGGGCTCGGGCTCGGGCTCAGGCTCGCCCGATGATTTGCAACGATCCCTGAGGCTGGTTTTCTCTGGTGGCCATGGTATTGTGCTGTCTGAGACTGAGGCTGTGGCTGAGGCTGTGGTGTGTACTTGGATCGTTCAGATTCATGAGTTGTTTGCTACGCCTCTTCAGTTTCTTCGTCGCCTGCCACTGATATTCTCTCTGATTCCAAGTACACTCGGGGCGAAAGACTTGGACGTTCTTCCCGTAGCGAGAGCTGACATTGTACCGCCGTGTGAATGTACACGAAGTGCTCATGCGGATAACCCGAGCACGAGGGGCACACACGGAAGCGAGATGCTAACTTTTCTAGAGACTCCTGGCTGCGTCTGCGGATCATGCACCGAGAAGGCTGCATTGTTCATAGACTAAGCATCAGAAGTGGATTCAGAAGGCGGGGAGGGGAGGGGAGAGGAAGGAAGGAAAGGTAAAGTTCCTGAGCATGATTGCACTAAGTGCTGAATTAGTAGGTAATGAGTTCTCACGCACACACCGAAATTCTAGGCGGCCAGAGTCCCGGGATTCTGAGTATGCCAGAGCTGCTGCCGATCCAGCGGATAAATGAGACTGACTGAGCCCCCAGACGAACAAATAATTATATCGATGGGAGGCAGGCAGGCAGGGAAAGAGAAAACGACAGTCGCAGAGCAGCAGCAGAAGAAGAAGAATAAAAAAAATTACCCAGTTCGAAATTGCGTCTTTAGATTACCAGCCAAAACCGATACAACAACTCATGATCAGGAAGTACGCCA